GAGGCGTAGAGGCAAATGATCCATACATTACCACTCAAACAAGTGGCACTCATACAATAGCACGCCATATGAGCAACGAAAAAGAAATATGACGCAAGAACCCCAAGTCAGTACTTAATTAAGCCACCTAGAGTCCTTAACTGGGCATAAAGGATATGACCACTGGCACACTTTTTAGTTTAAAAATCACGTTTTTCAAATGCCTTTTTATTTTAAATACACTTGTGAACAGTAACACGCTAAACCATGCTCTGATGCCAGCTGTAACAGAACCGACCAATTATACGAAATTAAGTAAGAAAATCATCCGCCAGAGCAGACGATTTAGCGAACTTAAGCCCGTATAACCCGGTAGTCCGTGAAATCACGAAGGATTTCAAACCAACTCACATCCCAGCCAAGATCGTAATAAATTTAGCGGTCGCCATCACATATTACATAAAAGTTTGCATCTCAGATACATCAGAGTTTAAACATAGTTATTACAAAATGAGTTCGAATAAAAGTAGCGGAAGCCATTTGTTCAAAACCACACACACTCACACGGAGTTCAAATACAGTGCCAGCTAATGATCATCTCCAACAAAAGCATCAGACGAGACGTAAGGAATGACCATGCCCATGGTCCTAAGCATCACCCATCGCAGGATAAAGACAGTTGATACAGTAGCCATAATACATCTGTCCATCTGCAACAAGTGGGAATAAAACTTTGAGTACGAGAAGGTACTCAGCTAGACTTACCCGACATAACCGAAAATAAGTGACACCAAGGATTATGAAGGGCTTTATAGTAGGGTAGCTGACTCATTTGCAAAAAGAAGCATTTTTAACATTTCAAGAACCTTTCCAAAAGCATTATTGTCAAGTTAATTATTATTAACCTGTCGACTACAATTGCACCTATACTAGAGTAAACATGAGATTAAGCAAATAATGATAACCCATGATCATTAATCAACTTCCATAATGTCATATTCATTATAATTGTCCAAGTGTTCCATCAACATTACTACGATGAAGTAACTCAAGTCTGCTCACAATCCAGGAGCGATGGCGATTCGAATCGATTCCTAACCAGCTGGTGATTTATTCCTTACACAAACCTCACTCACCCGCTAAAGTGAGGTATCGGTCACCGAGTCAACTATCTAGGAAGCTCGAGTCTGCCAGGAACCACATGTACCCGGGGGCCGACCGACTGCACTTTGGTCTTATCATCTCGCCCCCGTGTCCTACCACACCTGCTCCGGCACAGTGCGCTGTGGGCAATCTACTCGGCCCGAATAATCTCCTAGCTTCGCGGTCGAAAGGTACTTTATTCGGCCAGCTAAATATAAGGCATGCATTCAACATGACTCGAGGCCCAACAACGGTCGGTCCTTAATCGACATAGATGAAAAGCACTACAGTCCAAAACTCTGTAAGTCTCCGCCCAGTCTCAACTTCATTTAACACTTAGTCATACCATGACTACATAGTCATCCAAGCAGATCTAGGTAACCACCTATAGCTCGCAGGTGACAGGAAATCACCCGACTTCTACCGGTCTAAGCCAGCTAAGCATTGACTCGACTGCGGATACCAGGGTAACAAGGATATGGTATAACAAAGGTAGACAAGGTATAATGCAGCAACGGTTGCAAACAACTCCTGAACGTAATGCATCAATTAAAGTAAAGCAGTTAATTAATAATTGTAAACCGGGGAGAAAATTCTCCGGGGCTTGCCTCTCTCGAAGGAGCTCGGGCAGTGATCGGGGCACTCCGGAAGTTCCTCAACGTCCTCCTCGTCGGCTTCGGGCACTTCCTGCGGCTGAACCTCGAGCTGCTCCTCGGGCTCCTTGGGTATGACGACTGGATTCTCGGTTTGCGATCCTGTATGATGCAATGTGCGTAAGTGCTTATGCAATCGGTGCATCGGATGAGATGAATACAATGGATATGCTTGAATGCAAGGTAGTCAACATCATCCAAGAACATATACTACAAGCACATGTCATCTACTGCCTTCTCTTCTACTACTAATATGCTAAGTCAACACATCTTATTAAATGCTTCAAAGATACACCAAAGCTTCACTAATTTCTTAATCACACATAAAGCAACACTTGATTAAACCCTAATTAATAATAATAGGTTTGAATAGCAACATGTATTTTTATTGCTTAGAAAAATCGTAGAAAATTACCATAGCACAGTACTACCCTAAGTAGTCTACCATCAGATTTTCATGGTATTTGAATGAGTGGATTAGCCTACACAAAAATAACAAGCTATGGCACGATTATGAACATGAAAATACTTTGTACTGTGAAAAGTGTCAAACAACAGAGAAAATATTTTTCCTATGTTCTACACATCAAATAATCACTGTACAAAAATTATCACATGCATGTTTTATAAAAATTTTGCTCTCTAGCAAAAATAACAGAAATCAGCCATTAAAGGCACTTGAACTACACCTCATAATTTTTCTACAGCACATGCATGACACATATTTTTTCTATGAAGTACATTACATAAGAAGATTAACAAACTTGGAATCATATTTTTCTAAAGCCTATAGGTTTTTCTACACATTTTTCAAGTCATCAACAATATCAAGGATTAAATAAAGCTCTATAGAAAAGTATGTCAAAAATGACATGCAATATTTTTAACAGATAGATCTAGTCACAAGAAACACAACAAAATTTGTTTCATCCATTTTAGAGCACTGTAACTCGAGATATACATTTTCCAAGCATTTTAATCAATTTTTGAAACCATTTTAGAAATCCCTTTCTTTAAAACAAAAATCCAATGACCCAAATAGGTTAGGTACACCGGTGCAAAGTGCACCTAGAGAGGCTGCCACCTTGGGACCCATGGTCAAGCCGGACCCATGCGCCACCGAGCCAAGCAGAGGTCGCTGCATGACCGACGGCCGGCGGCCGCCGGTGAGCTTGCGGGCGGTGAGGTCACCACCAATGGCTTCCAGCGGCCAAAGGCACCGAGGTGCCAAGAGCAAGATGGAGTAGTTTTCAGACCTTGAGCTCGCCGACGCACATGGCGACACGGTGGCGCTGCAAGATACCATGGTGGTGGCACTCCGCCACAAAGAAGCCACGGGAGGCGCGCACTAGGGTCGCGGGGGCAAAGCGGTGCTGATGCGCGAGAAAAGGAGGATAGAGGTGGAGCGGGTCGCCTGCGCGGGCACGAGCTCCGGCGAGCTCAACCATGGCGGTGCGAAGAAGAAAGTCGGCCACCACAGCCTCTCACCTCGCCCACGGCAGACACACGCGGGCGCCACTGAAGGAGATTGACGAGGCGGAGCTGCTGGCGGGAGGAATCGAGGAATGAGGCGCGGGAGGAGAAGCACGTACACGACGGAGCGATCGCGGGCGCTCGGTGGCGAGAAGCTTCCGGCTGCTAATGAGGCCGCTGCTGGTTGGTTGAGTGGGGGAGGCGAGTGAGGAACACAAGGCCGGGCAGAGGAAGGCCAGAGAAGCGGAGTCAGGCCGTGGCTGCCGCACGGCGGGCGTCACCGACGCATGGTCGCCACGCGGCGGGCGTCTCTGTGATGATCGGTATGCTGTGATGGAATGGCGCGGCGTGATCGATGAGGGAGGCGAGCTGAGCGACCATGGGCTAGGCTAAGGCGAGGCGATGACGGCTGGGCTTGGGCAGCACGGCAAAGTGGGGGGGGGGGCGACAGTCGGGCGGGCCGCCGTGGTAGTGGAGAAGGAGGCGACGGCCCATGAAAGGAGAAAACATTTTCTCAATTTCTATTTTAAGAAATTTTCAAATACCAGCTTCCAAATATCATTTTGAGCAAGAAAATGACATCTTTTGAAAATGTCCCAAAAATAAAAATTGCTTAGAATTTAATCCTCTACAACTTTGCTTTTATGACCAAAGTCCAATTCTTGCTAGATTTTGAATTATAAAATAAAAGTCAATTTTAACTCAACCCTAATTTTGGAGAGTTATTTTTAAAGCAAAATTTGACAATAACTTGAATACAAAATTTGCTCCAAAAATTACGCTAAATAATTCTAGGTGATTTACAATCATAGCCAAATATGTTTTACTAACCTAGCAAGCATAATTTGGGCAAACACAACTCTAAACAAGTGTATGCAACATTCATGTTTCACGAGCATGTTTCAAATGTTTCGAAGCAAGGTTTCAGTTATTATTTACATGATTAGGCATGTATGATTAGGATGCTTGATGATGCATAATATGCATGATTTGCAGTGCCTAAATGCTGGTCATAACACCGGGGTGTTATACCACGTGCATGAGATGAAGCTGGGATAAGCTACTTTTTTTTAGCTTTATTTCAACTCATTTCATCCCTTTGTAAGAGGAGAAAAAAAACAGCTTTACCCATAAAGTTGTTGAAAATGGATATTTGGCAAACAGCTCATGAAAGTGTTGTGAGCTCTCCCTAATTTTTTGCTTCTTCCTTCATTAACATGGCAGTGGTTAAAGGATTAGTTACAGTTAGGCAAACATAGTGCTTAGCTGGCTTCGAACAGCGGACTGCACTAGTGGTTGGTGAACTTCGTTGTTTGTCACCGTGTACTGCATGCACGCTGTCACATGGTTCACCTTCATTCACCTCAGCGGAAAAAGACACATGGATCGGGACGAATCTTTCATCACTCATCTTTGTCTGCCTCGATCGATCAATGCCTCCCGACTACCACTCCTACGGAGAGTGCTGGGGACTAAAATTGAGGTGTGTCAGCATAATGTTGTAAAGGGTGTTTAGATATTAATAAAAAAATAAATTACATAATCCATCAGTACTCTACGAGACGAATTTATTAAGCCTAACATATTTGCTGTAGCATCGTATTATCAAATCATGAACTAATTAGGCTTAAAAGATTCGTCTCACAAATTAGTCACAAACTATACAATTAGTTTTGTAATTTAGGAGGGACACCCAGCACCCCCTTATTTATTACTTGTATGCCCGTGATCCATTCCATCCTCCACTCAGGCATGTGGGCGATACTGGCTATGCTCCGGCCAGCGTTAGCGTTACCCTTCCTCCTGCTCCTCCTCCCCGCCGCGGCTGGTGGGCTGTCCGGCGGCCGGACGCTGGTCTTCATCCTGGCCGGGCAGTCCAACATGAGCGGCCGCGGCGGCGCCACCAACGGCACCTGGGACGGCATTGTTCCGCCGGAGTGCGCGCCCTCGGAGCGCATCCTCCGCCTCTCCCCCGCGCTTCGCTGGGAGGAAGCGCGCGAGCCGCTGCACGCCGGCATCGACGTGGGCAACGTTGTCGGCATCGGGCCCGGCATGCCCTTCGCGCACGCCGTGCTCGCCGGCAGCGAGGGCGCGGAGTCCGTCGTCGGGCTCGTGCCGTGCGCGCAGGGCGGCACGCCCATCGCCAACTGGTCCCGGGGAACGGAGCTGTACGAGCGGATGGTGACGCGCGCCAGGGCGGCCGTGGCCGAGTGCAGCGGACGCGGTGAGCTGGTCGGCATGCTTTGGTTCCAGGGGGAGGCTGACACCATGAGGCGCGAGGATGCTGAGCTCTACCGGCGGCGTATGGACTCTCGTGCACGACGTTCGCGGCGACCTCGGCCGGCCCGACCTCCTCGTCATCCAGGTCACTCACAGATTCTCTCTCTCGCTCTCTGCACGCACGGTCCGTGGGGGCAGCCGTGGGCTGTGACCAGTGGGCAATTCCATGGGCATTCGTTCAATTCTACAGGTGTACTACCTCCTAATCAAACAGACCGAATCGGTCATTTTCCTTTTTTTGCCCATAGCAAGGCCGAACAACCAGAGTGTGTGGTCACTTTTTTACTCCTCTTTGCTCTTGTTTTCAATTTCCCCAGCACAGCAGGCCTTTACTTTTCTCTCTTCTTCTTTTTTTCCTTTTCAAGCCATTTAATCCTAGCAGTGTAGTATTGCTTGTAGGCTAACTACTACAACGCTACCCGCACCTGCTAGCTAACCGCAGTACGGCAAATCCAATTTAGCTTCGATACATTCATGGTCGTGGAACCCGACAGACATCTTCACAGTTTTCTCGCTTCTTTTTTCTCCTTTTATTTTTTCTTCTCTTCTTTTTTCTTTACTTTTTCATATTAACCGCCCATTTTTCTTCTATATTATGAACAAATTTTGTAGATTTAGAAGTTTGTATGCAACACAAAATATGTAAAAAATGTGGCGGATAAGTTGTGTATAAACATTTTCATAAGACAATGGTAAACAAAAACTTACATATATGTATAAGTTACGTTGTTCATAAACTTATTATATAAAAATTTGTGCTAGAAATGCTATGTTGTTAAATTGTTATGAAAGGTATGTTCGTTGATAATTATGAACAAAAGTTGGGTCTCAAAAGTAATATATAGAAAAGTTGTTCTGATAAGCTGTATATAAACTAATGTAAAAAATTATATTGAAAATTTATGATTATGAGTTGTGGTTATAAATTATGTCTAACAAAAATATTATGCACAAAAGTTGTGAGTATAACTTTACGACTTTCCAAAAAAAACAAAAGCCGTGGAATATTTTTTTCCAAAAAAGAAAAGTTACAGGGTTGTCTCGTCATTTGCTGAATTAGAATCTAGTGAATGTTCGCTCATCAGTGGGATTCGTGTCGTGGATACCACATGTGTACATACACATTTATCTATTTCAGAGAGCTTTTTTAGCTACTCCTACTGGATTTATGCAGTGGTCCTATTTGTTGGATTACACATGGATATATATGTCACGAATCTACGACACATGCGTACGGCTGTCCCACAAAAACCATCCTGACTAAATTTGTTTCAGTGGGTCGTGGTTCTCTTCTTGCATCAATACACATGCGTCAATCCAAATTTAGTGTTCAAAGGGATCGATTATATTTCTTGTTTGCTAAATTTTTGTTTATACTGTGCCATTGTTTGTCTATGTCTCTAAATATCATATATGTATATATATAGGTCGGGATTGCGACTGCGCAGTACAACGGAAAGTTCCTCGACCTCGTGAGGGAAGCTCAAAAGGCAGTCACGCTCCCAAATGTCAAGTACGTAGATGCCATGGGGCTGCCCATTGCGAGCGATCACACGCATCTTACAACAGAGGCTCAAATCCAGCTCGGCAACAAGCTAGCCAAGTCATACTTAGAAACGCTGTAATAATTTCAAACGAATGAATACGTCGTTTCTACCTAACACATGACTACCCAAATAAGGCACGCCCATTGTCCTCGATGAGGAAACGGGCAGAACAAGCAATATGTATACTCAAATTATGAATTACATGCTATTCAAACCGCCATCGTGTTAAATTGTTATTCAATGCACCAATCAATAGGCAAAAGTGCGACAACCTTAAATACATATCTATAGTTGTACTTCCTCCGTCCACGAAAGAATGCAATTATGGTATTTGTGCTAGTCAATCGGGCTCAACTTTGACTTAGTTTATAGTAAATAATATTAGCATTTATGTCTCCAAATAAATTTATTATGAAAATACATTCTATAACTAATCTAATGATACTATATTACGAGTGTTTGCACTTTTTTATATAAATTGAGCCAAAGTTTAGACAGTTTGACTCATCAAAATCTAATAATTGCATTCTTTTGTGAACAGATGGAATAAGTAGAGGATAAAATCATTACTTTATTATTTGACCTTTCTCTTAACATCCAAAGATTAAAAAATAGGGTGTAACAAAACTACCACTTAACAAGGCTAGCAAGAAGAAAAAGAAGGTTTCCAAACTTCATGTTTCCTTGACTTGAGATCCATGAGATGTGCCGAGGATTTTACCCCATCAAGATTCTTATTCAGCGTTCCCCTTCAAATAGATGGACACACTATATTGCTATCATCGTCACTCCCTTCTTTATTCTTGTAGTTTCCATTCTTTCACTTCTTGCGGTTTTTCTTGTGCTGAGACTAGAGAGATATACCGAACCATGAATGAGATTTAGGATTGGAGTAACAAAGAAGAGGGCCGAGAACCTATCTTTAGAGTTGCTTGATCTTTCTTGCAGTTGAATTGAGGCATTGGTGTCAAAAGGCTTCTTTTAGTCACTGCTATTTTTTTTGTTATTGACACAACTTCTAGTACTACGTGCCGTTTTCTCCATTAGACTAGGTAAAAGCTAGGCTTAGAAGAAAAAAGTAGATATGGATAGACATGAGAATGAGATAGAGCAAAATAGAGGCCGGAGAAACCCCAAGAGCTATAACATTATATTTAGAGTAACTAATTGATTTCATTGAAGGTAAACCTCCCACAAACACATCAACAATCATTACAAAGAACAAAATAACAATAACATCATAAGGACAAGCAACACAAACATGGCACTATACGTCCTCTCTGATTACAAAGTACCTAAAAGGATCAAGATGACCAAGATTGAGGGGTGAATTTGGCTAATCTAAAATTTCTTGCAATAATTAATCCCTACACTTAGCTCATTTCATCCCTAGTGCCTAAATGTGTTCTCTATTGTTCTACCGCACAAAGTTTTACACCGTAGGTTCCAATCCTACTCTAGCATGGTAATTCTAAGAATGTAATGATATGAATTGAATTGCTCAAAAGTAAATGCTCAAAGTAAAGAGAGGGAGAGAAACGCGACGATATTTTTCTGAGGTATCAGAGAGTTGCCACTCCCCATTAGTCCTCGTTGGAGCACCCGCGCAAGAGAGTAGCTCCCTCTTGATCTGCGCAAGGATCAAGTGCTCTCTATGGGATGATTCTTTGACACTCTATCGCGGTGAATCATCCACAATCGCTCACACCATGACTTGGGTCATCTACAAGCTTCACCAGATGATCACCAAGCTTTCAATCATCACCGAGCCGTCTAGATGATGGCGCCAAGAATAAAAAGTACAAACTCTCACTTTACCAAGACAAGCCTTATGAGAAAGGTGGATGCACACTTGCTACTCCCTATGCACTAATGAGGCCCTTAATCTTGTATTATCAAATCTCAATCACTCCACTAGGCTCTTGCACTCTCTTGAACTTCAAATGGTTGCCTCAGCTGAAGAAATGAGCAAGAAATATGAGTTGGACGAGTTGGAGAAGTATAAATAGCCCCCACTAACTCAACTAGCCGTTTGAACCAATTCCCGGTCTCTGCGGGACAACCGGACCGGACCCAAGGGGTGGTCCGGACCAACCATGCCTCGGTCCGACCCTCACAACCAAGCCAAGCACGTCACTGTGTCAGCCATGACCGTTGGGGAGGTCGGGACCCAACATAGTCCGGATACCACCAACCGGACCCAGTCCGGTCACAAACACCCCCTCTGTTACCTCTCTGTATAGGTTCAGACCAAAGTCACCACATGTCCGGACCAATACTGTTCATTGGGTCCCGTCCAGCCTGACACAGACCCTAGCAACCGGACCCTGGAACATTGATCCTATTGCCGCTGAACACTTGGTCCGGTTCACTCCTGCGTCCGATAACACTCCTATGACTGGCATTTTTCTTCCGGACCCACGCCCATGGTCCGGTTCACATGATCAACCAGAGTCCGGTTCAATTTTAACCACCCAAATCACTTCCAATTCAAAATCTTTGTGAATGGGATTTGTTCCATTTGATCTTTAGGCCATCTCTGAGCTACCTAGTGCTAAGTTTGACAAGTGTGCACCACACCTAACATATTAGACTCACCTAAATCAAGCTACTAATTCATACCCCCTTAATACTACGGCCAAAAGAAAAACAAAGGCCTAAACTTCTCTAAGTGTCTCTCAACGCCAAACGACACTTAAAACTAGTTTGTCCTTAACCTTGTCGTCCATACTTTGAAAACCGAAACGATTTCCATCGATAGGGGCACGAAAACCATTGATTGCCCAAACAATCGCCATTATCGTGACCTAACTCAAATTGCCTCTGCAAAACATACGTAGTCACAATAATCTTATGTCGTCATTAATCACCGAAACCCATTAGGGGCCTAGATGCTTTCAGTACCATCCTAAAAGGTAGACCATTTATTAAAGGCCATTGAAAAGTTGAACAAAGATGGTATTAACAAATTACATAAACCATAAAAAGGAAGAGCAAGGAGGATATAAGCCAAGATATGTCAAAAGAAATTACTAAGAAGTGGAAAACAAGGATAAGAAATTAGAAATAGTCGATAAAAATGGTAAAGGTTGTGGGAAAAAGATAGTTTAATAGCAAAATAAACATTAGAGGTTGACCATTGCTACTAGGCTGTGGTGGAGCCAGGATTTTGAAGTTGGGTATTCCCAAACTAAAAGGATGTCCAACCCAAAATTTCAAACACCTTAGAAGCAATATTTCCTCGTTCTTGAGGATGTAGGGCATCATAGTGGAGCCATCCTTTGAAGTGACCTGATTTTCACGAAGGAAAATCCACAGAGTCGAAGTGTAATAAGACCGTTGTAGATTATATTACCCAAAATTCCAATCGAATATCACATCCATACAACGTAATATCAGAGTACAAATAGTGCGGAATTACATAAATTATTACATCGCCGCATTGGTGGAATCAAAAGTAGCATTCATTCAGAACAGCTTGAAGACAAGATCGCCAAACTCGAGCGTAGGAACGAAACCCTCAACCGTCAAACTCCTCAGAGCTATACTCCTCAGCAGAACCTATGTGCCAAAATTTATCAGTATGATTTGTACTGGCCACTCCCACCCTATGAGCATTGCTTTGTGGAAATTGGATGCAAGTTAGATAAAATCAAGAGGAACCTATAAGACTATAAGACTGGGGTTTCCTATGTTTTTGCTTATCAAGTACATAATAATAGTTGGTCAAGTTTTAACACCTTTCACACACCCATTCCACCCCATTCCCGTCCAGAGCCAGGTTTCGATCCTGGGATCGATATACCACCATCTCCACATCATCACCACACCATACCATCGCTCAGTCGACAGGCCAACTCCCTCTCGGCGCTGTCTCATGGCCCGTAGCCCTGGCTACGTCCGAACACTCACTCCTAGGGGGGAGAAGAGAAAGACTCATCTCACTATCTAGTTTAAGCGAAACCCAGGAAAGGTCCATAGCCGACAAGTCGGCATATGTATCGATTGATCAACCAAACACTCTGCAGAGGTTTTACATACCCACAAGATTAGCCATCCTCGGAGCCATGTATCTCCTAGGCAGAATTCTGGTCGCTTGCTAGCCTAGAAGGATGCCACCCTACCTCTCAGCCCTGGAACATCCCAAGTCTAGTCTGGGATGGCTGATACTGTGAGTCGTAGACAGAGCCAGGGCCCTTCGGATGTCAAGAGCCAGGTCCACAAGGCCTCCTGAAGTCTCGGAAGGGTGGGGGAAACAGCGCGCGCCTGCACCTCCTTGCACACGTTCGCCTAGCAGTAGTGGCATCGTTCTACCAAGTAGTCCGACCGTCCCGCACCATATAGGGCGAGTGGGATGTAAAGGATTCCCGGTGAGTCTGAGTACTAGTAAGTCCTTAGGGATGACCAAGCCAGAATGTCTTCATCAGGGTTTCCATTTACCGTGCCACCACAGCACCTCCACCCTGGGCTCCTCCCATCACAGGTTCACACCCAGGGCCACCTTATATACCATTTTACCCACCACAGGTATCCATTCTAGGGGTGCCCAGGTAGCACCCCACGGCAAGACTTGCCCCAGGCTCGTCATATACTCCAACTTGGTCGACACAACCCTCACCCTCCATGCACCCAAGTCACACACGCAGCACTCTCCCTATAGTCCAGATAACACCAGTTTCCACCACGCATCAATGTAATTCAAGCGTAGTAGAAGTAATAAGCAATGAAATATAGCAGCAAGCGTGTGTCTAGCCTAACAACAGGGTGAGCAGGGGTATGGTTGCGTCAAGGTAAAGGTCACCAAGAAAGCATACTACCATGCAAGTTCTATCATAGTGTGAATATAACAATAAAGTAAAGCAATAGCAGTTCTATATTAGCCATGCGTAATAGGTGCTACGAGGTTGGGTGGGATGTGGCACCTTCAGTGAAGTCGTCACCGTACTCCTCACGGTACTCTCGGTCCTTCGTCTGGTTCTCCTTTGAGTCTGCATACAATCGAATTATAGTCGCGTTAGCGACGCCTATAGAATAGCACAAAGAAGCAATGAAGATTCAAAAGAGCCAAATGCACTCAA